GACGACACAACTGTTCCAGCAAGTGAGGTAAAGTCAGATGAACCGAAAAGTGACGAAAAACCAATAGAAGAAGAAAAACCAATAGAAGAAGAAAAACCAAAACCAAAGGTTAGTTTCAATACTAAACCAAGCCAACCTTCATTAGCTGGTATGGGTTGGCGTCAAAGACTTATGGCAGCGAACGGTTATGTAAAGTAAAGGAAAAACATTTTTTTATTTTATTTGAAATGTACGCTGAGTTTGTTGGAGAAGACCGTTGGGAAACTTGTTTTGTTAGATGAGAAATATGAAATGGCATACCATTTAAAACAAAATATTTTTAAAAAACATTTTTTTATTTTATTTGAAATGTACGCTGAGTTTGTTGGAGAAGACCGTTGGGAAACTTGTTTGTTAGATGAGAAATATGAAATTCACTGTTGTGAGTCATTTGAAGTCAGAAACAAAAAGACAAAAAGAGTTTTAAGCGGATGGGAGGGAAATAACGGATATGCTACTATGAAGATGGGTGGGAAACGCTATCTTATGTTAATCATTTATAACCGAACCCTAACAATTTACCTTTTGTAGACCATATAAACCGTATAAGAAACGACAATAGACTTGAAAACTTGCGTTGGGTCACTCGTTCTGAAAACAATAAGAACAAAAGCAAATTTGGAGATATTGTATTCGAATTTGTCGACGAACTAGAAGATGAAACAATTGAAATTACAGACTATGGCAAGCATACGTTTGAGTTTTACTACTATAGCGAAGAACAAGACTCTTTCTACTTTTATACCGGCGTAAACTATAGGAAATTACAAGTATATTTTACTAAGGCGGGCTATGCTTATGTAAACGCTAGAGATACAGATGGAAAATACGTTCATATACTTCTTAACAAATTCAAGAAGCTATATGGCATACCATTTTAAAACAGTATATTTTTTTATTTTATTTGAACTGTACGCTGAGTTTGTTGGAGAAGACCGTTGGGAAACTTGTTTGTTAGATGAGAAATAAAAAATTGCATGAAATAAAACATTGCATGAAGTAAAACATTTTTTCAAAAAAATATTTTTTTATTTTATTTGAAATGTACGCTGAGTTTGTTGGAGAAGACCGTTGGGAAACTTGTTTGTTAGATGAGAAATATGAAATTCACTGTTGTGAGTCATTTGAAGTCAGAAAAAAAGAGACAAAAAGAGTTTTAAGCGAATGGGAGGGAAATAACGGATATACTACTATGAATATGAGTGGAAAAAACTATCTTAAACATGTTGTCATTGCAACTCATTTTATACCGAATCCTAACAATTTACCTTTTGTAGACCATATAAACCGTATAAGAAACGACAATAGACTTGAAAACTTGCGTTGGGTCACTCGTTCTGAAAACAATAAGAACAAAAGCAAATTTGGAGATATTGTATTCGAATTTGTCGACGAACTAGAAGATGAAACAATTGAAATTACAGACTATGGCAAGCATACGTTTGAGTTTTACTACTATAGCGAAGAACAAGACTCTTTCTACTTTTATACCGGCGTAAACTATAGGAAATTACAAGTATGTTTTACTAAGGCAGGCTATGCTTATGTAAACGCTAGAGATACAGATGGAAAATACGTTAAAATACTTCTTAACAAATTCAAGAAGCTATATGGCATACCATTTTAAAACGTTTTTAAAACAGTATATTTTTACATATATAAAATGCTTCAGGTTGAAAAACAAAGAACAAAAGTAGCAGATACAAAACCGTTAGACTATATCTTTACAAACGCTGGTAGGACTATATCAGATGAAGAAATTTCATCCGGAGCTTACAGGTTTGACTATCCAATTCGTTGGCTTCAAAGTCCTTCAGATGCAAAGGCAATAGGATTTAGAAGAGTTTTGTTTTCAAATAGAACTAACGCGTTTATTTCGCAGTATATTTTCACGGTCAGTATAAGGTTCTGATGGTCTAATAGAAAATTTGATGAAATGAAAATCTTTACAATTGTTCAGACGAAAGTCTTGAAAAAACTCTAAATGACTTTCAAACTCAAATAAACAAACAATACTACTGGGAATTTCAAGAAAAATACCACTCTTTACTAAATGGAACATACTATCTGAAGCTAGAATACGACAAGATGAACTCCACAGTTTCATTTCAAAAGATTGAAATTAACCTCCAAGAGATACAGAGTTTTTATATGGGGAGTAGACAACGTTTCTTGGGCACAATTTCTTCGGTTACTAAACCAGAACGAACATTACACCAGATGGTCCATTTAAATTTATACTCCCCCAGCAGATTTGACAGTTTATAGAAACGTGTTTGACCCTCAAAATGTCATGTGTCATGCAAGTTTCAGTTCAAGCAACAACAGTTTTCTATGTATCGGTAAGGACTTTTATGACTTTGCTTCTAAATTCTACGAACCACCTAGTACAGTTTTCTGACTTTCAAGTTTGGTTCACAAAACGGTGTGCAGCATATAATTCCATTGTACTATGACTTTTATCTCGAATTGTTTTCATATACACTACGGAAAAGTGCTGAAAAAGTATTGAAAAATATATTTTTAGGGTAGATGGTTTTTAGGTTCACCAGGTCCTCGGTCCCTCGGTCCCCAGGTATTTTAACTTCTCTGAAAAGTGTGACAACATGACATTTAGACAACAACACAGGAAATAAACTTCATCGTCAATGTTTTGTCATGAATTTCATCGTAAATGTTTTGTCATGACTTCTTCATGTATTCTTTCACCGTTGAATTTTGTATAAAAAAGCAACCGCCGGAATTCCGGCGTTGGTATATTCTTCACAAAATGCTTGTTTTGAGGTCGAGCCACAAACGAATGTCCGACGGTTAAGCACAAACGAATGTCGACGGTTAAGCCACAACGAATGTCCGACGGTTAAGCCAAAAATATTTTTTATTTTTATTGTAAGAACTGAAATGACAGTCGAAGCAAAACGTTCACGAACAAATCTAATGGCGAAAACATTCACAAAGGCACTTACAACGGTATTGAAGTCTTACGTAGAGACAAGGATGGTTATATAAATGCAACAAAGTATGTCAGCAGTTTAGGAAAGACTTTAGAAGGTTGTTGGAAAATAAGTCCTGGGAAGAGTATTTTAAGGATTTTGTGAAGAATATACAACCGCGGAATTCTGCGGGTTGCTTTTTTATACAATGTTCATGCAGGAATTCCGATGAAATCAAACAGGTTAGAGGAACGTATGTAGACCCAAGACTTGTAACTATATAGCAATGTGGGTTCTCCAAAATATTGTATGCAGTTGGAAAAATTTGGACTCCATAGACAAGAAAGTTCATGAGAAATTAGATGAAGAGAACTTGAAGATACAGCAGAGATGCTAACTTTGTTCGAACAGAAGTTAGAAAAAATGTGCTTAAACAAATAGAACATGAACGTGAGATATGTTCTGGTTATAGAGATTTCTCCATCGAACTAGACCAATGGGAACAAGAAGATTTAAAGAGAGAATTTAGAGAATATGAACTCGCTAAAGTTTCATTAGAAGCTGCAGAAGAGAGGTTAAAAGTTTGGGGTCGTTTTGTACAAAAATATTGTGAGTAAATGAACATTTTTTTTATTGAATTCGGCAAAAATATATTTTAGGTTAGATGGTTTTTAGGTGTCAGTACGTCACCAGGTAATTTAAACTTCTCTGAAAAGTGTGACAATGACATTTTGACAACAAACAGGAAATAAACTTATCGTAAATGTTTTGTATAAAAGCCCCGCCGGATTCCGCGGGGTGGTATATTCTTCACGAAATGCTTGTTTTGTTGAGACTTCATCGTCAATGTTTGTATAAAAAGCAACCCGCGAATTCCGCGGGTGGTATATTCTTCACGAAATGCTTGTTTTGTTGAGACTTCATCGTAAATGTTTTGTATAAAAGCACCGCCGGAATTCGCGGGGTGGTATATTCTTCACAAATGCTTGTTTTGAGGTCGAGCCAAAAATGGCTCCACCGTAGAAAACACACAAAACTCATGATTTTTGTATAAAAAAAGCAACCGCCGGAATTCCGCGGGGTGGTATATTCTTCACGAAATGCTTGTTTTGAGGTCGAGCCACTTTGGCTCCACCGTAGAAAACACACAAAACTCATTTTTGCCTGATTTACACTCATTGACGATGAAATTCATGACAAAACATATACGATGAAGTATATTTCCTGTGTTGTTGTCAAAATGTCATGTTGTCACACTTTTTCAGAGAAGTTCATTTAACCGAGGGACCGAGGGACCGAGGGACCTGGTTCCACCTAAAATATATTTTTGCTGAAAAAATGACCAAATTTCATGAATTTCCTCATATGTTTGCTACCCTCGGAAAACCGAGGGTAGAGATTCCATTCGAAAATCGTAAAAAAACTCTATGAAAACAGCGAAAAAATGCGACCCGCGGAAAACCGAGGAACGAGATTCCGTACGAAAATCGTGAAAAAACTCTATGAAAATCGTGGAAAAATGCGAGTGGGAGAAAAACCCTGGTCGCCAAAACTCTATGAAAATCGTAAAAAATTGCGAGTACGGAAAAAACCCTGGTCGCCTAAAACTCATGAAAATCGTAAAAAATTGCGAGTACGGAAAAAACCGTAGTCGCCTAAAACTCATGAAAATCGTGAAATTTCTCTAGACCGACTTTTTTCGGTCTTGCATAAAACTCATGAAAATCGTAAAAAAATCTCTGAAATCATATCTTTTATACAAGATAGAAAATTAACGTTAGTTTTATTTTTTTTTATTTTTTATTTTGTATGTAAGAACAGAAAATGACAAACACAGAGTTTGAAACAGTTAAAAAGATAGACAATGAGACCAAAGTGGTTAGAATAGGTGATTTAAACGTAAGATACTCAAAGAAATACAAAAAATATTCTTTGTCAGACATTTTAACACTATCTGAAAAGAAAACATCCCACGACTGGGTTAAAAATGCTTCAACTCAGAAAATTTTGACAAAAAATCCTGAGCTTATGATATCAGTAAGATTCTATGGAACAAGAGCATATCTTATAGACAAAAGTCTTATACCAGTAGTTTTGTTCTGGATTGACCCAGTTGTTGGATATAATTTCATAACATATGGTTCATTCGATACGGAACGTTGCAGTGAGGGCTTACTTTACATCGTTCAGAAACCGAAGGACTTCAATACAAAGAGATATAAGATAGGAAGAACATTTAATATAAGTAGTAGATATGACAGTATAGTCAATAGAGTCAAGGTTGCGTTTGTTAACGATATGAGAGCTGCTGAAACAGAACTACTTGAAAAGTTTGAGAAAATGTATGGTGCTCCCACGAAAGGTAAAGAAACGTTTGAAGTAGATGAGATCGACAAAGCTATAAAATTATTTGACGAAGTTGCTGAAAAATACATGTAAAGCGTTTATTTTTGGTCTTTTATACAAGATAGAAAATAACGCTAATTTTATTTTTTCTATCTTAAGGAAATTCATGAAAATTCAAGAGGGTGAAAAAACAGGTGAAAAAACAGGTGAGATCTCACCTCTTCACCTAAAATATATTTTTGCCGAATTCTGTATAAAATTCTGAGTAAAATAATTTTTAGGGCATGTGTCAAACCGTTGAGTTTTGACAATACTTGTACTGTTTCAGAACAATACTTGTACTGTTTCAGAACAATACTTGTACTGTTTAGAACAATACTTGTACTGTTTCAGAACAATACTTGTACTGTTTCAGAACAATACTTGTACTGTTTCAGAACAAATTTCCCGTAAAAGCTCTCAATTTGTGAGAAATTTGCACTGCTTCAGAACAATATTTGTACTGTTTCAGAACAATACTTGTACTGTTTCAGAACAATACTTGTACTGTTTCAGAACAATACTTGTACTGTTTCAGAACAATACTTGTACTGTTTCAGAACAATACTTGTACTGACAGTAGCAGAGATTTTTATCGTCCAACTTTACAAATGTAAACTTATATCGTTCTATTTTCTTCACTAGGGTCTAACACCAAAGTAACCTTACAAATGTAAACTTATATCGTTCTATTTTCTTCACTAGGGTCTAACACCAAAGTAACCTTACAAATGTAAACTTATATCGTTCTATTTTCTTCACTAGGGTCTAACACCAAAGTAACCTATGTACATGAAATTTCACTGCATAAAAGGAAAAAACCTGCGCGAATCGGGATTTGAACCGAGGTCTTCAACGCCTGTAGCGAGGTAGCCCATACCACTGAGCTATGAGCCGCTTGCATATTTTTAAGTAAAATATAGTATATTTGTCATATAGTGAAGGATGACCAAACTTAAAAAAAATAACGCTAATTTTATTTTTTTTTTATTTTTTTATTTTGTATGTAAAGACAGATATGACAACAACAGAGAACACAACAACTGCTATCGTTCATGAAGATATAAATGAAGAATACGAGTGGGTTCAGTATAACAAACAGTTACGTCTCATTCGTTCGGTCAAAGATGACATGTACCAAATGCAAAGTATTTTGAATGCTCTTCGTTCTACAAAGCAAGCACATCATTGGTTTGAAAACCAACAGACAAAAGAACTTTTAGAAGAATTTCCTCATATGTTTGCGTCCCGCGGAAAACCGCGGGACGAGATTCCGTACGAAAATCGTAAAAATTTGCCAAATGGTTTGAAAGGTTGGTATGTACATAGACTTCTTGTAAATGCTGTTGCAATGTGGGCTTCACCTCGCTATGCTTGTTATATTTTCATGATGTTAGATGAAATTCATAGACAAGAACGTGAAGAGCTGGAAAAGAAACTTCAAGCAAAAGATGAAGTCATTGAATCCAAAGACAAAAACATACAGAAAAGAATACCACGTTCGGTACCAAAAGGAAAGGAAAAGAACTATAAGTATATGATTTACACTGAAGAGATGGAAAATGAAGAAGACAGAGATATGGTTATGTTGCATTTAGTCAGAAGAAACAACAAAAGCTTTTACGACTTGCTAAGATTTACAAATCTGACAGAAATTGGTTCTATCGCGAAAACTTACCGATTTCAATGACACCGAATGAAGATGTGAAACAAATAGTTCAAGATACGTTACCTCAACACACTATGATATGAAAGGTTGTACAATACTTACATTCAAAGAAGATTTACCGCTACTGAAGGAAAAGATAACAGAGTATTTTGACAACTTCAAAGAAGAAGAGTAAATGAACCATTTATTTTTCAAGCTTGACACCAAAAGATGGCTCAGGTAGCTCTAGATGGTAAATTGTCTTGTCCGAGTCCTTCTGGCATTCCGAGTCCTTCCTTCCGACATTCCGAGTCCTTCCTTCCAACAGGAAAAGTTTTTCCTTCCAACAGGAAAAGTTTTTCCTTCCAACAGGAAAAGTTTTTCCTTCCAACAGGAAAAGTTTTTCCTTCCAACAGGAAAAAATTTTCCTTCCAACAGGAAAAAATTTTTCTTTCCGACAGGAAAAATTTTTCCAGTTGTCCGTCCGTAAACCATTCAAATTTTCGAAAATTGAGAACTTTTTGGCCGACCTTCAGGAAAAGTTTTTCCTTCCGACAGGAAAAATTTTTCCTTCCGACAGGAAAATATTTTCCTTCCAACAGGAAAAGTTCTTCCTTCCGACAGGAAAAGTTTTCCTTCCGACAGGACACAAACGGATGGCTGACGTTCACCAACCGAGTCCATTCCAAAGCAGAAGAACCGACAGCCCCAGCACCACAACAGACTAAGACTCAAACACTTACATTTTTACGCTTGACTTTTTACAATTTGAACTTTGTTCGCGTAGATGTGAATTCTGAAAGAAGTATGAGGGTCTTGTATGACTTTGTACTTCTCCATAGTTCATGTCTGTCAAACTTACCTGCATGGACTCTTTCATAAGTTCCATGAAATCGTCTTCGGACAATCCGGGGAAAAGTAAATGTCAGTAAGTATTCTCTTTACATCCTTACTTAAACTCTTGGCTGTCTGTCAAATGACAACTGAGATGTTAAAGTGTCTGAGCTTCTTAAGAATTCGACACATGTCTTGTTCTCTATTCTTTAACAAAGGATGAGAGCGAAATCATCTAAGATAAGAAGACATTGTGAGGGTAAGTCTTCCAATCGTAAGATTGCAATTTCTTCGAAATGTATTCTATCTCTTTCTGTTTGTTTCTGAAGTGTTTCTTCTCTAATATTCTCTGCATTTCCTCATTTGGGTCTTTAACTTAGAATTGACATACTCATTTATAGCATTGTACTTCAAAACTCTTCTTTGGTACTTCTTTATCCAATCCAACAATCAGAGTCTTTTATACATACTAACTTAGACTTTTTTATAATATCTTTGAACGAATTGACGGTTTGGTCAAATTGACAGAAGTACTACAAATGACTACTAATCATAGAATGGGTTCTTCTCATCTAGTTTCTTGTTGTTGTGCAGCATTTTAAGATAAGTGAAAGTCTTACCGACCAGGTGGTGCAATTAGACTGTTATACATTCTGAGCAAATAGGAATTGTCATGTATGGGTTTTATCTGAGCATTTTCCAACTTCCTCTTGTTCTTGTTTAAAACATTCTCAAATTTTTTGTCAATGTCAGCAAACTTTTTTTTCTAACATATTTTTAGAAAAATTAAATTTTTATCTTTTAGAAAATGTCTAGCGATTTCGCTATCTATATTCGAGACAAGCTTTTCGACAGCAAAACATCTGTCGACCATAAAATCTTACATAGTGTAAACAAGAAAGGTGAATTTGTTCTAAAGTTCTGTTTCTGGGAATATGAAAGAAATAAACTTAAGCAGAGAAGTCTTAAAATTTGTCAATGACAGACTTGTTGACAGAGATGACGCTCTTGGAGAGATGAAGTCCAACAAAGTTCTTAGAATGCAAAGAAGACACATGCGCTGTTCTTGAAAATGAAATAGAAACAGAATAGAAGAGCTATTAATGACAAAGCACTTTTACAAAAATATGGTTCTGAGAAGTTTGACATAACTCCACCAGAAAAGAAGAAGAGAGAAAAGAAGAAAAGAAAGTAGAAGAAGAGAAGAAAGAACGAGCAGAGAAGGGGAGATTGACATGTAAAAATAAAATTTTATTTTTAGAACATTTCTGGGTCAATGTCAATGTTCTCTTCCTCTTTAGGAGCAACACGGCTTAGACTCTAAAATCTTTTTACCAATTTACCTTGAACTTCACTATCTTAGACTCATAATATTCATAGTCGTCTGCTTTCTTTGGTTCATAAGGTATAACAAGTTTGTATGCTTTGCCTTCTTTAAGGTTTGAAACTTCTGTCAAACTTTCTTTGACTGTTAACAAACTTCTATGTCTAAGTCTTCAAATTTCGCACCATTTTTAGTCACAATAGCAAACTTAACTGGTTCGATGTTCCAAACTTTGTCAATGTAGACTTTTCAAAATGGTAGAAGTAAACATTCAAATATGTGAATGGGTCTAGTTCTTCTTTAAGTCCTGACATGTACTTGTTGACTGAGATGAATTTCGTCATCTTTTCTATCGGATAAAAAAATATTTTTTTTTAAAATTTACTCAGAAAAATTTTTCTTTGTATATACACCATTCTGTAGTCTAAAAGACTTTTGACATTTGCCAAGAATGTTCGTTTAGACGCTGTCATATAACATATTTTGACAATACTGTTTATACGAATCGTACAATGACCTTTCATCTAAACTCAAAGTCGGTTTCATCTATGAACAGTTCATATACACTCTTGTTTGCTTCTAACAATGTTTGTCTCTCTTCGGTATGTGGAATTTGTCTTGGATTGAACTTAGAAATATCTAATGTCATGAAATATGAGAAAAGTGGTTGTAAAAGTTAGGGTCAAAGTTTCTGCTAAGTCGTCAAAATATTCTGTATCTTGCATATGAGCTTCTGACGTTCTGACAACTACATATCTTCTGTCAGAATTTCTAACTTCATCGGAACAGCATTGTTTGAAACCATGACGAAGTTTGCAACATTTTCACAAATCTTTGGTCTTTATATTTCTTTTCAACAACTCAACTTTGTCTGTTATAAGACTCTTCAAAGCATCTGAGTTCAAACTTTGTTGTATCTATACTTTGAAGTTCGTTACATACTATAAGTTTCATATTCTTATTGAGAGTTAAATTTACCGCAGATGTTTTCTAAGTTTGTCATATTAGGGTTCGAATAGCTTCTAACAGTTTGCATAAGATATCTGTAAAGAAAGTGTTCTTACTGTTCGTTTTCCAATTATGATGAGAGCAGTTTCATTTTTAGCACTTGGATGTTGTAAGATGTTTGCAAACCAACATAAGATATACTCATAGACTCTTTCGTTTCCATTGCATATAATTTCTTTGACATGGTTAACCAAGCTTCTATAACATTTTTTTCCATTCTACTTGTTCGTATTTATATCA